CCCCGCTGCGGGCACCCCCTGCTCCAGGCACACTCCTGCCAGAGCCCATCCTTCGTGTTCCCCTTCCTGCAGTTACCGGGCACAGAGCCCCAGGCCCTAGATGGGGATGGAGCAGCTGTCTACCCCCGACAGGGATGTCCCCGGGCAGCACTGGGGCCAGGAAAGGGAGGTTGAGATCCCTGCACCTTGCCGGCTGCCTTGGGCTCCTGCCCAGCCTCCACAGAGGTTGTGATGGAGTCCCCCCAGCTTGCCCCAGGGCTTGGTCCCATTAAGATAAACACCATGCCAGTTTATCAGCATCCTTTGTGTATGTGTGTGTTGAGAGACCCCAAAAGCATCTCCAGATGTCACAGGACACCTAGATRTCCTCATGATGCCAAGATCAGGGGAGTACCTTCCCTCCATCATGCAGCCCAGGGTACTAGTTACTCTTAAATGCAGCTCGTGGCCACCAGACCCCCCCTTCCATGRCCAGTGAAGCCCAGGTCAGAGAACCTACAGCCCTGCAGTCATGTCCTGTGTCAGCATGACTCCTGCCAGGGTGCAAACTTGAAGGCARGAGCAGCCCGTGAGTCCCCCTTCAGAAGAGACAGATGTGGGACAGCGGTAGGGCAAAGAATTCTTTATTGTCTTCCATGTCACTCCTAGGCTGCAATTCGGGGCAAGCTGACATAGCTCTTCATGGGTGGGAGAGGCTTGATCTTGCGTCCAGCCCATCCGCCCTTACGATGCCACAAGCCCGTGTGCGGGCGCTTGCCCAGCCAGCGGTTGCGGCCTGCCTTCCCAATCACCCGCTTGTTGTGGTTCACGTTGGACACGCGGCCCACGGTGGCCACACAGGTCTCCAGCACCTGCGGGGAGCACAGAGAAGCTCTGTGATGCTCCCAAGGGGATACAACCACATGTCTGGGATGGGAGGGCACAGCTCCTCTACCTGCATGTGTCTCTTGGAGGGCAGCTGCACGATGGCCGTCCCATTGACCTTCCTGAGCAGCACCCCACAAGTCCCTGTGGCAACAGAGAGGTCAGGAAGCGGCATCCTTGAGCCGCTTRGCATGAAGTGTCCCATTCCAAACATTCTCATGTGGGGAAGCTGCCTCCACATGAGACCCCAAAGTCAGGACCTTGAGACACCATCGGGAAGGGACCTCCCACCTGTGCCCACCTTCCTGGGGGTGTATTTTGCACCACTGCACTAGGAGGAGCAGCCGTGGCCGCCCAGGAACGCACCGGCCGCTCGGATGTACTGGGCCCCCTTGCCAGGGTGGCTCTCCAGGTTGCAGATCAGCGTGCCCACAGGCAGAGCGCCCAGCGGATAGGCGTCCCCTTCGTTGGCCAACACTGCAAGAGGGCAGACGGCGAGGGCGGTGTGGCAGGGACAGGGAACACCCCTGTCCCYGCACGCCCACCGCCGCCGATAGAGCACCTGCCATGCGGCCAATGTGAGGCGAGTTCTTGAGGATGTCGCCTGGCTGCATGTTCTCCGTGGCGACTATCCAGCGCTTCCGGTTGCCGCCGGCCACCAAGGCAATGTCAGCGGACCTGCGGTGAGGGGGAGGCAGCGGGTGACGGGAGAGCGGGCACGGGGGCRGCGGCGGGGGCCGCCCGGACCTCACCTGCACGGGTCGTAGCGGACATCGATGACCTTCTCCTCGAAGGGCGCCGCCGGGCTGCCCTCCTCGTAGCGCAGCCGCTGGAAGTCGACCATGCGGTAGCGCCGCTTGTGGCCGCCGCCGATGCCGCGCACGCGGATGCGGCCTGCGGGGCGGCAGAGCGCGCGGCTCAGGGCACAGGCGCCCTCCCCACGCCGTCCCCAGGCCCTCCAGGACCAGCTCTCCCGGTCCCTGACCATCCCCATCTCCATGGCCCCCTGGACTGCAGGCCTCGGGTCACCATTCCCAGGCCTCCGAGTCCTCATTCCCCTGGTTCCCGCTCCCCCAGTCGCCCCAYTTCCCTGGTCCCCAGCTCCCCATCCCCGTCCATCCCTCTGCCCTCGGCCCCCTCGGTGCCTCATTCCCCCCCGGTCCCAATGTTCCCAGTCCCCCACTCTCCCCTTCCAAGTGCCTCCGGTCTCCGTGTCTCCCAGTCCCCAGGCGCCCGCTCCCCTGCACCCCGCAGTCCCCCATCCCTCCCGCGCCGCAGCGCCCGCCGCACCCGTGTGGTCGCGGCCGCCCGTCTTCTTCATGCCCACGGGCCGCACCGTGTACTTGACGCGGCACTTCCACAGCGGGTCCGTGGTGCAGCGCGCCGCCGAGGCGCTCAGCGCCCTCCAGGGGCTGCCGGGCACCGGCGGGGGCCGCGGCGGC